GAGTTTGTTTCTTCACTTCAGCAGCCCTGACATTCACCAACACTTACAGTTTTGTATTCTGAAGGTTTTTATTGAAGGGTTTGTTGATGTAGGATTCCCTTGATTTTATACCACATTTTATTTCTAAAAATATGATGAAAAATATTTTTTTCTGGCTGTTAACAGTATATTTTCTGATTTATCTAGATTTATATTTTGCTTTCATAACTTGTCTTCTTTCAGACTAGTTGAAAGAAAACATCCAAACACTAAACTTTTAAGTGTTTATTTTATTGCCCTTTCTCTATTTGCGTCTGTAAATTTCAATTATAGTCTTTAAAGGCCATTTTCTCAAAATGAGTTTCTTCCTCCACTTCAGCGGCACTTACACCAAACATTTTTCCGTTTTATTTCTATCGATATTTTAAAGGATTTTACTAAAGGGTTTGTTCATATATCATTCACATTCATTTATATAGGATTTTGTTCATAAAAACTTGTATTTTCATATTAGATTTTTTTTAATTTTCATTCATTCATGCATTCATTCACGCATTCATTCATGCATTCATAATTGTATCATGCATATAATTAATTCATTCATTCATGCATTCATTCATGCATGCATTCATTCATTCATTCACGCATTCATTCATGCATTCATAATTGTATCATGCATATAATTCATTAATTCATGCATTCATGCATTCATTCATGCAGTATTTTCTGATTTATGGAGAGATAAATATTTCAACAAAATCAAACAATCATTTTGAACCTGGCTTCATCCAATGCCCTGTTCATATTTAATTCAGATAATGCTTCATTTGCATTTGAAAGCATAAAATATGGGGAAAAAATGTTATTTGTAAAAACTTGTAATATTTTTTTTTACCTTATTATATTCATTAAACAATAAGTGTAATATTGCTTCAAATTGTTGTCCCCCCCCCCAAAAAAAATCAGTTTAATTTAAATGCAATTTAGTTTTTGTTTTTCTGAGCAAAAAAGAAATATCATACATTTGTCCCTGATTTTCAGAAGAGAGCCACTAAAACGTCATTCAGTGTAACAATCTTGTCAGGCATATTTACAACAAACAAAAATCAATTTATGACACATTAAACGACTAATTACTTTCCCCCCAGATACTAATCAGCTGTATCCTGTACTAATGTGCCACTATCCTAGGTTTCGCCCATTTGTCAGTAAGAATTTTTACTCATAAAACACAATAACATTTAATATGCTCTCTTATTCTTTTATATATTTTAATATGTACACGTCAGAATAAGCATGCTGTTTGAATTTTTACATAAATACTGTGTTACACTGAATGACAACGTAACATTATTTAAATCAAATTTTGACATTTTATTCTCCAAAAACTAATTTGAAACCTTAAAAGTAGACACTTTACGTACATTTAATGTGCTTACTATCGACATAAAATCACTTTTGTTAAATTATTTTGACGCAGACATCTTAACGTCTTTGACCCTCACACAACCTTTAAAACCAAAGTCAAACAGGCTTCAACTCTGGAAATGTGAAACAAGTCTAATAATACTGTGAAGTTGATGTGTTTGAGTTCATTTGACGTGTGTGTGAGTGTTGATGAAGAAAAGACCCCCGGTCTCTGTGTGTGAGTTAGTGCTGCTGTGATTGAAGTGAAGTACATATACAGTAAATATGAGGTTTAATCTTTGAATGGCATGCTGTGATGTGATGCAGTGAAGCCTGAAGCGTGAGATGTGTTCTGCGTCTGCTCCAGCAGAGGTGATGCTGTACGTGAGCAAAGGCACCTTGGACTCGCCGTGCGTTCAGACTACTGATCAGCCGGTCTGATCAGCAGTCTTCCCCATGATTGTGTAGCCTAGTGAACCAAACTGAGAGGCCATTTTGAAGGCTCAGGAAACCTTTGCAGGTGTTTTGTGTTGATTAGCTGATTGGCATGTCACCATATTCTCATTTGTTGAGATAGTGAATTGGTGGGTTTTTGTTAAATGTGAGCCAAAATCATCACAATTAAAAGAACCAAAGACTTAAACTACTTCAGTCTGTGTGCATTGAATTTATTTAATACACGAGTTTCACAATTTGAGTTGAATTACTGAAATAAATGAACTTTTCCACGACATTCTAATTTATTGAGATGCACCTGTAAGTTCCTTGTGAATTCTGTAAATACACAATTTATTTATTCCACGTTTGTCATTGTCTCATCTGTTTAAAACGCTTATTTTTTCCTCCCACGGTTTAATCTGACCCCATTTTAAACCGATCGTTACAAAGTTATTGTTCGTATACTATTGTTTTTTTATATTTAGAATTAGTTTTTATATTTTCTGTTTTAATTTAAATTGTAGTTAAAAATATTAGTAGTTTTGTTGTTTGTTTTTGCCTTTTTTTATTCTTTTTTTTTAATGTCTACAGTTGTGTTCATGCTTGTTTTAATTTGAGTTATTTTAAGTTTTGTGTGTTTTTGTCATTTTATTTATTTTATGTCTACAGTTTTTTTTATTTTAATTTGTATTTATTTTTTATTAATTTTAGTTATTCTAGTAAAAAATAATCTCTCTCTCTATACAAACACACACACTCATTATATACTATATATTTGATTTGACTTATTTTTAGTAACAAAAATGTTTTTATGCTTTTATCTTTGTAAATGTATATTTGTAAATGTTGTACATTTTGTGATGCATTTATTCTAGTTGTCATTTCTCTTTGTAATCTTGTATTTTTGTAATTTACCTTTTATTTATTATAGTTTTATCTAATTTAATTTTTTGTAAATATTGTAAATTTGTCATTTTCTTTTTTTTTATTATAGTTGTAATTTATCTTTGTAAATGTATGTGTTAAATTGTGTTATTTATCTTCATTTCTTACAGCTGCAATTGTATCTTTGTTCTTCTAGAGATACAGTCTCTCGTAAAACCTCTGATGTTTTATCCACACTGAAGTCCCAACATTTACACAAATACATTTTCATATACCCACATACATGTATTAATATATTAATGAATGTAAGATCAAGTGATTTCTCTCCAAACTCGTGCCAGACCATATTCCTGTGCTGATCGGTTGGGTTTGATCAGTGGACATGATGATTAATGCAATAATGTGTTTGGCTGTCCAGACTCCTAAACAGATGATATCGGCTGCAGCTGGTTCAATAACTAATTTAACCTCCTACCTGATGGAAGACATGTTAAACCCATCAGTGTCAGTCTTCGTGTGCTGCTCGGGGGTCATTCGAAGTGTGTCTCTTCACAGAAAGAGTAAGTTTACCCTTCAGCATCTCCCTACAGCACAATACAGTCAGGAAGTGTTCAACAGAGAATTAATATATTAATCCTGTAAAGCCTCACGTATGGAATAATAGTTATACTTTTTTTTTCTCCATATTTGCTCCATTAGGATTTTACGGCTCACATACAGTGAGAAGCTCAATTTTATTCAGAGACTTAAACTGAGAAAGATATGAATTTGGTGCAGATGCTGATATTTCTATGATGAAATGCTGATGCTTGTAAAGTAAATCAATGAGATCTTTATAACAGTACAGCAGATACTGACATAAAATGATCTAAATATCAGCGGTCACTGTATATCTCCAATGATATGTCTTAGTAAGATGATTAAATTATCCAAACATACAGTATAATGTAATGCAATCCAGTGCTGATGAAGACACGTGAAGCAGCAGCTGAAGCTGGACGTTTCTACAATTACACTAAAATAGCTTTTACTCTCTTTATTTATTTATTTTTTCCACTCTAAACTACCAATCAGATGACAGAAGACATGCAATACACTCTTAAAAATAAAGGTGCTTCACGATGCCACAGAAGAACCTTTTTGTCTAAATGGTTCCATAAAGAACCTTTAACATCTGAAGAACCTTTCTGTTTCACAAAAGCTTCTTTGTGGCGAAAGAAGGTTCTTCAGATTACAAAAAGGTAAGAAAGAGATGTTCTTTAAAGAACCTTTGACTGAATGCTTCTTTGTGGAACCAAAAATGGTTCTTCTATGGCATCGCTTGAAGAACCTTTTGAAGCAGCTTTATTTTTAAGAGTGTAGACTGTGTAATCGGAGACCCTTTAATATTCATGGAACCACAACAGGTTCTTAATAGAAGAGTTTCATTGAAAGGTTCTTTAAGGAACCAAAAGCGAATCTATCTTTATAACCCTCACAATGCAATTGTGTCTGTTTTGACCCAGAAGAGATACATAATTTCTTAAAAATGCATAGATTTTAGTCATGAAATAGTAATATCTATGAAGTTACATTAGTGTCGAAAAACATATGTAAAATATATTTAGCCTTTTCACCATATCTCACTTTTTTGTTGATGAACATTAATATTTGCACCTATTGGCGAACCACTGCAGCCTTTTTTTTTTCATCTGAAAGTTGAGGTTTACACAAGTAAAATGAATTTGAAATTTGAGCAAGCCGAGCAATATTTGTTGTTTTGTTAAAAATAAATATGCAGGTTGCATACATTGACTGACACTTTTTGAGCAATTATTAATTTTAAAATTCCAATGGTGTTATATTTACAATCTTTCATCAATATCGAGAGAAAAACAAACAAAAAACATATTTTGCATCATGTGTGGTTCGTGTGCAATTTTAAAATGTCACACACACACACACACACACACACACACACACACACATTCACTGATTATTAAGAAGCTGCTGATCATAAACCGCGTGGTTTTAGTTGGAAAAATATGAAGTTATGATTATTTTATAAAATAACATTTCTTGGGGTCTGAACGGATCTGGAATGCGAAAACAGTACAGATTTTGAATGCATCATGAGAATTAACAACAGCTCTGATAATTCATTAGTTGTAATTCAAATTCAAACTGGGACCTGAATTCGAATTCAGAGATGCATTAAGCGTTCTCAGTGCGATCCTGGATGCTGCACAGTCTAAATGGGTTTTAGGTGTGTCTGTCTTCGCTGTAATGCACGAGCATCACTTACCCCAGTGAGTCTCCATCTGAGACAGCGTCCCGTCGTTTCTCAAGTTCTCCATGTTTCTGTGTGCGTCTCAGGCTGAGCTTTAACGCAGGCAGTCCTTGGTTCTCATTAGAGAGAGAGAGAGATAGAGAGAGAGAGAATCAAGACGCTGGGATTGATCAGAGGGTCCAGATTCTCGTGTGCGGGATTAAATGCGTGATCTCCACCCTTGTAAGCACGTTTCTCCATCCATCCGCTGTGTTTTATGGAGGTTTTGCGCGCTGGCGTCTGTATCCGCATCTTGACGGTTTTTGTTCTTATTCTCTCGGATTTAAGGGTTTTTCACCTTTTTCTGGCAGATCTGAAGGTAAGCAGCTGTGTCTAATAACGCGTTTTCTTATATCCCCGCAGGTTGCGTGTGTCTGGATGAAGATGTTTTTTTTCCTCCCAGACTTTCTATTCATCATATAGACGCGTAACCATCCTCTGAGTCACGAACACGGCACAATCTAGCGATGCAGTGGAACACATGCCCATGTCTGTGCAATGTGTTCGGGTTGAGCTGATTTAAGTGCAGGGTTTGTCCAGGCTGTTAGTCGCAGGACAGGAACGCAGTAACCGGGTGAAGCAGGTAAGATCTGACCGTCAGGGAATTAATAACCTACTTTACACGTTCACATCGATTGCACAGCGTTAATGCCTCATCCTTTCTGAAAAACCTTAAATTCTACGCTTTTCGACTCGTTTCGCTCATTACGATTTAGATGGTGCTCCAGAAGAACCCCGATATAGCTGGTGTCATCGGTGACTTATTAGGAACGGCCTGTGCTTTCATGCAAAGACCCACTTCTATCAGCCCTCTGATGCATGCATGATCAAATCACCTCTTAATGATGCATTACAATTCAGAATAAGAACATGTTGTTTCCCGTTTTCGCGTCAAAATGATGTTTTTGAGAGAGTTGCACATCTATCCTGCAGTAGAGGTTCTTGGTGCATCACCACTTTTTTCAGATTTGTTTTGGGCATATGATTAAAGAGTGGTTTGGATGATTATAGTGGTTTTTGGAGATCTGAAGTACTGTAGTGGACATTTCCATCAAAGGGTTACAATATATGGTTGATCATATGCAGTGTGTTGGGTTGTTTGCATTGCAAATTAATGTTAGTATCTCAGTGTTCTGATTTATCAAGATGAGAATATAATAATTCATGCTTTTCCCTTTCAAAATTATGTTTTTGAGAGATTTGCAGCTGCAATCCAAAATTATATAGAGGTTCTTGCATCATTTTTTTTTTCAGACAGATTATTAAAATGCTTTTAAAGATCTGACCATTGTAGTGGACGTTTGCATCAAAGGGTTCAAATATACAGTTGATCATATAAACAGGTTTTGGTTCGTTTGCATTGCCGTTAATGTCAGTATCTTAATGTTTTTCCCCTGCAATTGAAAATAATGTTGTTAAATATTCCAGAGGATCTTGGTGCATCACCACTTTTAAAATAAAAACACACTATAAAGAGGACAGCCGAATGTAATTATGGGAAAGATTGGTTTAGATGATTATAGTGGCTTTTTAAGATCTGAGCATTGTAGTGGGAGTCAAGGGGTTAATATATACAGGTTTTAGTTGGCTTGCATTGCCATTAATGTTAGAATTATTAATGTGTCCTAATGTTACGTTTCATCAAAGTAAGAATAAAATATTCCTATTTTTCCCTTTTAAAATTATGATTTTAAGATAATTACATTCTGCAATTGAAAATAATGTTAAATAGTACAGAAGTTCTTGGTGCATCACCTCTTTTCAGCCATGTTTTATAAATAAAAACACACCATAAAGAGGACAGTCATATGTAATTATGGGTTTTAGATTATTAAAGTGGTTTTTGAAGATCTGATTATTGTAGTGGGCATTTGCATCAAAGGGTTAAAATATACAGTTGATCATATAAACAAGTTTTGGTTCGTTTGCATTGCCGTTAATGTCAGTATCTTAATGTTTTTCCATTTCAAAATGATGTTTTTGAGAGGATTGCACCCTGCATTTGAAAATAATGTTGTTAAATATTAGAGGTTCTTGGTGCATCACCACTTTTCAGCCATGTTTTTATTTAAAAAAATCCACACAATATAAAGAAGACAGCCGTATGTCATAAAGAGTGGTTTAGATGATTACAGTGGCTTTTTGAAGAAATCTCACCATTTGCATGAAAGGGTTAAACAGCTGATCATATACAGGTTTTGGTTTGCTTGCATTGCCGTTAATGTTAGTATTCTTCATTAGTACTGGTGGTCATCAGTGATAAAGCATCTTTTTATATTCTCAACATGAAATCTCTGAACCAGCAGGTGGTACTACGGTATGTACATCTACATGGTGCATGAATGGAGATGCAATGTGAAAGAGGACTAAATCACCTTTAAAATAGGCGAGACGCATTCGTTTGATTGCAAATCAACAGCGTTTGTCAGCAGTATATGAGGTCTGATGATTTGCATTGCAGCGTGAGTGTGTGAATTACAGGTGCATCATTATTAACTGTGTCAAGAGGAACAGACGCGTCCAACAAGGACAGAAAGCTTCAGCAGACAGGAGTAGAGTTGAAAGGCCACCCCTGCAGGGATAAGCAGTCGCTTCAGATTGTTTCTAAAAGTGTCACAAAAGAACAGCCGCCGAAAGCATTACCTCAGGTTTGAAAGGATTGTTCAGCTAAAAATTTTACGTTTTTGTCATTTTTCACACAGTATCTTTCCATAGTGTCATTCTTTTTTTTTTTTTTTTTTTTACAAAGATCATTAGAACATGTTTTATATATATATATATATATATAAACTTCAAGATTTCAGGTTTATTTCAGTGCATTACTTGCCATTTCTTTGTAATTATTGAAACAATTTCGAAGTGAAAATTGTTTCAAAGCAGGGCTATTACTGGTAACAAACTGGAACGAAAATTAAATCCATTTATTTATAATCGAAACATCTGATACTTTAAATAAAATAAACACTAAGCAAAATAAAATAAAATAAAAAACTTTATAAAAATATATATTTTTTAATTCAGCTAGTTGTGAGAAATATTTCTTATTTAACTGTCTCATCTTAATGGACTAAAGTAGCTAAAACCGAAATAGAAATAAGCATATATTAAAAAAAAAAAAAAAACTACAACTACTAAAAATGACAAAAACTAAATTACTAAAACTAGCTAAAATGAAAATAAAAACAAAAACTGATTTGAAATGTTCAGAAAAATATAGTATCTACATGAAACTAAAATAACACAGTTTCAAAGTAAATCCTATGCCATTGTTTCAGTGTATGAGTAAAATTAAGAATAACAGCTTAATGATAAAGAGATTTGTTGTATGGATATAAATAATTAATCTTTTTGTGTTCCACAGAAAAAAAGAAAAAAAAACCTTTTTGGATGAATAGTTCTATTCCTTTAAACACACATTATATTCTAAGCTTCACAAAGCAGGTTTTATAGCAGGTGTAAATGTTTTTTAGATTGTTTTTGTAAAAAACACCTATTTCCGGTGTATTTTAGTATATGTTGTTTGAGCATGTTAATCTATGTTGCATGCGTCTCTCATAATATGATCATATATGCACACAAACTCTTATTGGAGACATGTAATAACATTCAATGCTGTCCAGACGTCTTGGACATTTCTGCAGGCAGTATAATTTAGTTATGCTCATTTATTTCAAAGGGCTCAGGGTTTGTCTGGTTGTGCTCATTAGAGGTCCCCTGCTGGTTGATGCTGTAACTACGCCTGTGCTGCATGGCATTCATAGCTCAGGTGAATGACTCGGTGAGCGTCCAGGAGAAAAGATGCCAGCATGCAGGTTGTGCACCAGCTTTGGCTAGAAATGTCTCGGCGTGAGTGCAGTATAAATGCATATTAAAAATACTAATAATTCACTCAAAAATTAACATTTGCTGAAAATGTGTTGACCCTCAGTTCATCCGAGATTGGGATGAGTTTGTTTCTTCATCAGGTTTGTAGAAATGTAGCATTGCATCAGTGTCTCAGCAGTGAATGGGTGCCGTCAGAATGAGAGTCCAAACAGCTGATGAAAGCATCACAAGTAATACACAGCACTCCAGTCCATCAGTTAACATCTGGAGAAGACAAAAGCTGAAACTAATCCAGCATTAAGATGTTTTTAACTCAAATACATAGAGTCTATAATCCATAATAACTCTTCCTCCAGTGAAAAAGTGTTCTGGTGTGAATCAGGAGAGAAATCTGCACAGATCAAGCAGCGTTTAAACAGCTCTAAACACATATGTGGCTGGATTTTGATGTGAGAGACAACAGCAGATGCACTTTTTCACTGCAGGAAGCATGTATTTGAGTTAAAAGCATCTTAATGCTGGATTAGTTTCAGCTTTTGTCTTCTCCAGATGTTAACTGATGGACTGGAGTGCTGTGGATTACTTGTGATGTTTTTATCAGCTGTTTGGACTCTCATTCTGACGGCACCCATTCACTGCAGAGACACTGATGCAATGCTACATTTCTCCAAATCTGATGAAGAAACAAACTCATCCCGATCTCGGATGGCACATTTTCAGCAAATGTTCATTTTTGGCTGAACTATGACTTTAATCACAAATGAGTGGGAAACAAAATTTGGAAATTCTTACATTCAAATCCCAAATTCATCACTGCGTCTCAACGCATGCATTTATCCAAAGTGACTTACATTGCATTCAAGCTATGCATTCGCTGGGAAACAAACCCATGACCTTGGTGTTGCGAGCGCCATGATCAGCACAGGCGGACTGTAAACAAGCAGCATTGTTAGTTTTGAAGCGAATCAGCAGGTTGAGAAGGAACGATGTGAAAACAGCGACACGAACAAACCTGCAAAGAACTGCGTGATTGTGATTGTCAAGGTTTTCTGTGAAAACTAATTAAAAGTTTTGTGTTTGTTGGTCCCGAATCCTGCTAATGAGAATATTATATTCCTGAAAATTACATTTCCACACAGCTTGATGCTTTGCCAGCAGCCAGCAGAGACACGATGTACAGCACCTTTAATTGTAATTCTTTTAAATGAGCCTTGATTTGACTCATTTAAGCTCAGTAGTAGTTTATGTAATGCTCTTGTTTATGTAATGCATGATTCAAACTTTATGCAATTTATAACAAATTAAAAGTTACTCTTATTCAGCTTGCAACAAAAAAGAAAACATTGTTAACTATTTAAAAAAAAAATCTTGTTGTCCTGTACAAATATCTAAGCATCCTTAAAGCAAGAAGCTAGTTTGATATGTTTGGCTTGTTGTCAAAGAATCTCTCTGGAATATCAGTGTATTTTGTCTCTGCATTTTATTTTCATTTAGTTTTATTTCACGTTCGTTCTTGTTTATGCTTAATGTCTGTATATACAAAATCGATTCACTGAGAAATGTGAAAATTGTGCATAAAGTGAAACTCACACTTTATGCAATTTATAAAAAGTTACTCTCATTTGTCTTTAGCTTGTTTACACTGCAGTCAAATATCTCAACATCTTTAGAGCAAGAAGTGAATTTGATTTTAAACCTTGTTGTCAGAGAATCTCTGGAATATAAGTTTATTTTGTCTTTGCATTGTTTTGTTATATTTCTCTTGTTTATGCTTAATATCTTTGTTCAAAATACATTCTCTGAAAAAGCAGCAATACAAATGCAGACTCGCACTTTATGTAATTTATAACAAACTTTTTTGCTTCACCTTGTTTACACTGTGAAAATACAGCATTTGTAATTATGTATTCGTACAAATATTGCAACATGCTTAAAGCAAGAAGGAAACTTGATATTTATTTCACTTGTTTATGCTTAATATCTTTATATTCAAGATAGTTTCTCTGAAAAAAGAAGCAATACAAATGCACAACTCAAACTTTTTGTAATTTATAACAAATTAAAAGTTACTCTTATTTTGCTTTAGCTTATTTACAGTGCAAAAAAAAAACAATCACAATTTATTCTCACTTCTGTCTTGTCCTGTACAAATATCAAAATATTTACCAGAGATGCAAATATGATATTAAGCCTTGTTGTATATCAGAGGAGCCTCTTAAAGAAGAAGTTACAGGTCTGTGAGAGCCAGAAATCTTGCTTGTTTGTAGGTGACCAAATACTTATTTTACCGAGGAATTTACCAATTAATTCTTAAAAAATCCTACAATGTGATTTTCTGGATTTTTTTCTCATTTTGTCTCTCATAGTTGAGGTATACCTATGATGAAAATTACAGGCCTCTCTCATCTTTTTAAGTGGGAGAACTTGCACAATTGGTGGCTGACTAAATACTTTTTTGCCCCACTGTATGTGTATTTTGTCTTTGCCTTTTATTTATTTATTTGTTTGTTTGTTTGTGACCCTGGAGCACAAAACCAGTCATAGGGGTCAATTTTGTGAAATTGAGATAGGATAATATTTGGCTGAGATGCAACTATTTGAAAATCTGGAATCTGAGGGTGCAAAAAAATCTAAATATTGAGAAGTTCTTTAAAGTTGTCCAAATGAAGTTCTTAGCAATGCATATTACTAATCAAACATTACGTTTTGATATATTTACGGTAGGACATTTACTAAATATCTTCATGGAACATGATCTTTACTTAATATCCTAATGATTTTTGGCATAAAAGAGAAATGTATAATTGTGACCCATACAATGTATTGTTGGCTATTGCTACAAATATCCCCCAGCGACTTAACACTGCTTTTGTGCTGCAGGGACACATTTATTTATTTATTTATTTTTATTTTTATATTTTTTTATATTTTCTTAATATCTTTATATTCACGATAGAATCTCTGAAAACAAGCGTTAATATTTTCTTCTGTTTTGCTTGCAGGTAAATATTTTATGCTTTATAAGAATGTTTAGACATTTTAACTGTTAAACGAGACGAGGATCCTCGTGAATAATATATTTTGTGTTGCTCAACATTACGTAAGTGGACACCCACAGATGAGATGTGCCAAGCGCTGCAGATGTCTGGCGGACAGCTTAGTTAATGGCTCTGAGCGTTCAGATGACTGCTGAATGAATGTGCCAGATTTATACGGCCCGCGTTATTAGAGAGCCTGGACTTTTCTCCCTTCTAGCGAAGCCACTGAACATTTCATTCATTTTAATGGATGGTAAATACAAAGCCGAGTGTGTTTTTTCACAGCCGCTCCATGGGCTCAAAAACGCCATTAGAACTGCAGTATTGTGGTTTGGTGTTACTGTTAGACATTGTGATGTTTTAGGAGCGACAAATGCATTGAAATGCAGCGGTGAATCTGCTAAATGATGCTCCGTGAATGATGGCTGATGCACTGATATGTTGTTTGAGATTCTACAGGAGTGTTTGGAGATATTAAAGCAATCATATCTGTGTTATCATTCCTACAGAAAGCTAACAATTTAACCTGGTTGGTGTTTTTGACTAAAAGAGATGCTATTTATTAACCACAGACAGCATTTTTAGTGAGTCTGTCCAGTTTAATGTGTTGAACCAAGAAGATAATCGGATAATCCAGAGATGAGATGACGGTTTTCAGGCTTTTGAAGAAATTCTCAGAGTAAATAAACTTAGTCGTGTGTGCAAAGACTGACGAAACAACTACCAATCACTGTCGAGATACTGTTTAAAATGAACACAAGTCATGAGACAAGGAAAGATCATGAAACTTAAAGGTGAAATAATAGCATTAAAATCATTGCAATATTTGCTCGCTGATTCTAGCTGGTCTAAAAGCAGTGTGTTAATATTCACTAACTTTAATATTTTGAATTCATGTTTTCAAACTTAAATTGTTGTAAAGTGTTTTAATGCTTTGAAGCACAGACTTCATTAAAAGCATGAAGCATGTATAAAAAAAAAGTACATTTTTATCTCACAATTTGGACTTTTTGTTCTTGCAATTTTTTTGAAATTATATTTCACAATTCAGACTTTTTTGAAAAGTCAGAAGAGTGAAACAAACTTGCAATTGTGAGAAAAAAGTCACAATTACTGTTTTGATTTAAAAAAAATTATTTTGTGGCGGAATAAACTGAATCGTGAGGTGTAAACTCAGAATTGAGTTGAAAAATTCAGAATTCTGAGTTTTCATCTCACGATTCAGATTATTTTCTTTATATTGCACAATTCTGACTTCAGAGTATTTTTCTCACAATTCTGTGAAAAATATAAAAATTGTGAGATATTACTTTTTTTAATTATTATTATCATTTTTATTCCACGGTGGAAACAAACAAACAAACAAACCAAAATAGAATTTCAAGATATGAAGTCAGAATTGTGAGATAAAATCCTCCCCCATGACAGAAATGGGCTTTCATAGATATCAACCTCAAATCTGGACCACTTGTTTAGATTTATGTCTATTATTTATAGACATAATATATTTATTTATGACATTTATATTATTTATGTATTTATTTCAACCCGATCTCATGAAAGTGCGTATAAATAGTACGCCAAATAAAAACGAAAACTTGTGGTATTGATATGCAAAAATGGACTTTGGCGTGTATATGCTACGCGATGGGTAGGTTTAGAGTTGTGGGGTAGATGCGTATCATATGTACGCGAAAACTGCGTATCATAAGCACGCCAACAAATTTCGTATCATATGCACGCGAAAACTGCGTATTATATGCACGCCAAACACATGCGTATCATATGCACGCCAAAATATATTTTTGCGTATCAATACCACGACTTTTCGTTTTTATTTGTCGTACTATTTATACGCATTTTCATGAGACCGGGCTCATTTATTTATGTATACTGCATATGAGTCAAAGATGAGACATCCCATTTTGGTGTCCGCATCAAATTAAATTTACAAAAGTGATTTTATATAAACAGAAAGCCTATTAAATACATATCTACTTTAATGTTTCAAATAACTTTTGTGAAAATAAAATGTCAAAATATGGTTGAAATAATGTTCCATCGTCATTTAGCGTAACATATATATGTGACCCTGGAGCACAAAACTAGTCATGAGGGTCAATTTTTCGAAATTGAGATGTATGTATCATCTGAAAGCTGAATAAATAATCTTTCCATTGATGTATGGTTTGTTAGGATCGGACAATATTTGACTGAGATACAACTATATGAATACTATATGTCCAAAAATAAATACAATTAAATGATTAAACACTTCTTGCTGACAAATGGGTAAAACCTAGTGGTTTGAAGGACAGTGGCAAAGTTTTAAAATAAATTAATTTGTATTTTGAGAGTCTTTTAATGATTCTGGTTGGTTACATGAATTATTGTTACACTGAAAGGCATTTTTTCTGTAAATAATGGTGCACATGTATGATAGTCATAATTTTTTGCTTAGAAATTTAAACCTGGATTAAACTTTATTGTTTTGATGCATGAAAGCCCCTTCTTGTCCTTGATCATATAGTGTCTCTTGCCCAGCCGTATTGAGTATATTTCTGATATATATCATAATTTCAGTGTGCTCCTCTCTCTTCCACAGGCAACTCAACCTGACTGGAATTAAATCAGGATATACTTGTGTTTCTGAAACATGGCAGGCACCGTCTCCGTCGACTCGAGGGCCGAAGCATCTCGTCTGAGGATCTGTGGTGCTTTGGATTAACAGATCTGCGCTCGCACATTTGTGAGGATTACGCCTTTGCTTTGCTGCCTTTGCCATGCTTTGTCTGAGAATGATCCTTCGGGTTGTCTCTGTGGTTTGGGGAGTTACGCTCGTCGTTTGTCAGCAAGCACAGTTCACCACCGTCACCACAAACTATGGGAAGCTGCGTGGATTGCGTGTGGCGCTGCCTAGTGAGATCCTGGGCCCCGTGGAGCAGTATCTGGGGGTCCCGTATGCGATGCCCCCTACTGGACAGCGGCGCTTCCAGGCACCCGAGCCGCCGGCGTCGTGGCCTGGCATCAGGAACGCCACGCAGTTCGCTCCGGTGTGTCCGCAGTATCTGGAGGACCGGCTGCTGCTCACAGACATGCTACCGGTGTGGTTTACTGCAAACCTGGACACGGTCGCATCGTACATACACGAGCAGAGCGAAGACTGTCTGTACCTCAACATCTACGTGCCCACAGAGGAAGGTATGCTTATTAAAATACATTAATTTTGCATATATATATATGTGTATATATACCATTCAAAAGTTTGGGGTTGGGATGTTTTTTAAATGTTTTGGAAAGACGTCTCTTCTGCTCACTGAGGCTGCATTTATTTAAAGGGGTGGTTGATTGCGATTTCACTTTTTTTAACGTTAGTTAGTGTGTAATGTTGCAGTTTGAGCATAAACAATATCTGCAAAGTTACGAAGCTGAAAGATCAATGCAAACGGAGATATCGTCTTTTAAAATTCTGGCAGTTTAATGCCTACAAAAACGACTGGTAGGGACTACAACGAGTTACTTCCCGGGTTCGTGACATCACAAACCCAGATAAACCCCGCCCCCGGGAACATGCAGCAAAGGGGGCGAGGCCTGTGCTGCTTTAGAGAAGAGAAAGAGAGATCTCTCTCTCTCTCTCTCTCTCTCTCTCTCTCTCATTCAGATCATCAGCTCAGCGAATACACTTATTTTCACATAGCTATGAGAAGCGTTAAACATGCGGTTGCCGTACTGTATTAAAGATTTAATCAGGATAAAACCGTATATTAAAAGCTAACATAAGCAGTAGCATTTACAAATAACAACGTATCTAAAAGAATGAGACAACAGCAAACAAAAATCTTAGGCCTACCATTAAAAGCCGTGCTTGCACAGGTTCTGCACGATCCTCTTCAATAATATCCTCTGCTTCTCAATCGGGCTCAAACTGATAAGCACAATAGACGACACCATTGTTTACAATACAGCCGGAGCAGATGGCGCTGAGGAGAGGGGCGGGACGTTTAGACTAGCACTAGAGGCGGTTTAGCCAATCACAACACACTGGGCTAGCTAACCAATCAGAGCCCATCGCCTATTTCAGAGGGCGGGGCTTCATAAAAGAAGGAAATGATCAGTGCGTTTCTCAGAGAAGGGACAGAGCGGTGTGGAATAAAGGTAAATTATGTGAAAAATAATGAATTTTTTAACAAACGAAGCATTATCACATGTTAGACTGCACCTCATAAACACAATCAAGCCTATAAAAAAAACAGTCAACCACCCCTTTAATCAAAAATACTGTAGAAATTGTGAATTGTTTTACTATTTAAAACAGCTTTCCTGTGTGAATATCTGTTAAACTGTAATGTATTTCTGTGATGCTCAGCTGTATTTTCAGCATCATTACTGCAGTCTTCAGTGTCACATGATCTTCAGAAATCAGTATAATATGCTGATCTGCTGCTCGAGAAACATTTCTGATTATTATCAATGTTGAACACAGTTGTGCTGATACAACACATGCGTGATACATTTTATTTTTCAGGATATTTTGATGAATAGAAAGTTCAAAAGAACAGCATTTGTTTGAAATACAAATCTACTGTAACATTATAAATGTCTTTACTGTCGCTTTTGATCAATTTAATGCGTCCTTGATGAATAAAAATATCAGTTTCTTAAATAAATTTTACTTACCCCAAACTTTTTAACTATATATACACACACACAGCAACATAAAAATATATAACTCAAACTCAACATATATAACTCAAAATGAATTATTCGTATATGAAATTCTTAATACAACTGTATTAATTTATGAAAGTTTTCTGGAGGGTTGCAAAAGGGGCAGAAAATTTCCAGAAGCTTTCCAAAAGTTTCCAAAAAACAAAAAAAAAATTCTGGAAAGTTTTTGGAAATTTACTGGAAATGTTCCGCCCCCGTTGCTGGCCTAATTTTAATTTATGTATAAAGGTCTTAAGCAAATTTGTCTTAAGTAACTGTTTTGTTGTAGTAGTGGATGCCTATGAAAAAATATAATTTTACATATGAACCTTTTCAGTTAATATGCAACATTATGTATAATTATCATGAAATTATAAATGAGGACCGAAATGAATTCTTGATGATGATGATGATGATGGATATGGATTAAAATATGTTGTATACAATACTAAAAACTTTCTTTTTATTTATGCATATTTCTTGGTACTGAATAACATATTTATAATCACTGGTTCTCATGCTTTATCCTTGCAAAGATTTTTTGCCGTATGGGATTGACTTCTTGACAAAGGATTCATGAAATGCTGCTGTAATATGTGGAACAGAAGCGTGTCTGTGATGCATTAACATGCTGTCTATTTAGGCAGCTCACTAGCTGTTGGAACAGAGCCGTTTATCATCATATCCATGTATTCATGGGATTGCCATGATCTTATTTTCGCGTGTCGCTTCTTGTTTCTCATATAGACAGAAACTAAATATGCCGTTTATTCCCTAAGGAGATGGATTCATGATTTAGCAGTTGATGTCCAAACTGTGAGGCTCTAGTAGATTCATCAGTAACGCAGCGCATCGCCTCGAGGAGCACAACATAATGAAACGCATGATGAACGGAGATGACAAACAAAACATTAGATGCAGAACTCAAGAGCTGGTCGTTCAAGTTTTGTTCACTGTTCTCAGTGAGTCTGTCTCAGGTTTTAGGTCTTTCCCGGTTAAAATAAATCTAAAACCTGAAATACAGTAAATGCTGTATATATACTGTATGCTATATATACTGTGTGTATATATATATATATATATATATATATATATATATATATAGAGCTTACAGCTCATGAAAGTCAAAAATACAGTATCTCAAAATATTAGAATATTTATATTTGAGCTTCATTAAATGACCGTCCCTACAGAATACATTCTGGGTATCTCTTGTTCTTTGAAACCACAATAATGGGGAAGACTGCTGCAATGGTCCAGAAGACGATCATTGACACACTCCACAAAGAGGACTGAAGCTGGAGTCAGTGCATCAAGAGTCACCACGCTCAGACTTCTTCAGGAAAACTTCTGAAACAGAAACAGCGTCAGAAGCATCTCACCTGGGCTAAGGAGAAAAAGAACTGGACTGCTGCTCAGTGCTCCAAAGTCTTCTTTTCAGATGAAAGTAAATGTTGCATTTAATTTGGAAATCAAGGTCTGGAGTCTGGAGGAAGACTGGAGAGGCACAGAATCCAAGCTGCTTGAAGTCCAGTGTGAAGTTTCTGAAGTCAGTGATGATTTGGGGAGCCATGACGTCTGCTGGTGTTGCTCCATTGTGTTTTATCAAGTCCAAAGTCAATGCAGCCGTCTACCAGGAAGTTTTGGAGCACTTTATGCTTCCATCTGCTCACAAGCTTTATGGAGATGCTGATTTCCTTTTCCAGCAGGACTTAGCACCTGCCCACAGTGACCATGATATAGCTGTGCTTGATTGGCCAGCCAACAGGCCTGACCTGAAGCCCATATAGAGTCTATGGGATATTTTCAAGAGAATGATGAGAAGCAGTGGATCCGAGCTGAAGCTCAATAGTGCCTCAACAGGCTGATCGCTTCCATTCGCTCCTCACTGATGCTGGAGTTTGTGCTAAACGAGCCCCGGCCAAGTATTGAGTGCATAATAGGTCTGGGACGATGCAGAATCGATTCGTGGAATCCTCTGGAATGGATTCTGAGCTTAGATTTTAACAGCAGATGGCGCTCTAATCTAGTTTTTATCCACACACTCAGAGTCTGTAATTTCAGCTCAGAATGCTTTTATGACGCGAGATTAATGTAAACACAGCCCACTGTGAACACTCTTGTAATTCGCTTCAACCTTTTCGAATTTTATGAATGATTATTTTAGGTTCAAGTGTGTGTAAGGATTTGGCTGTTTCTAAAGCATGCAGCGCCATCTGCTGTTCAAAACTATGCTCAGAATCGACTCCAGAAAGAATCGCGATGCATTCGGAAAATCTCAGAATCGATGCAGAATCATTTCTCGATTCTCGATGCATCGATTTATTTTCCCAGCCCTAGTGCATAAATGAACATACTTTAAAGAAGTTGAACTTTTCTGTTTTGTAAATCCTTGTTTTTTATTGATCTTAGGAAATATTCTAATATTTTGAGATACTGGATTTTTGACTTTCATGAGCTGTAAGCTATAATCATCTAAATAAAAAAAAACATTAGAAATGCTTTACTTTACGCATAATGAATCTAGAAAATATGAAAGTTTCACTTTTTGAAATAAGTTACCAAACATGATTAACTTTTGCACGATATTCAAATTTTTTGAGATGCACCTGTATATGTGTGTATATATATATATATATATATATATATATAGATAGATAGATAAATATAGATATAGGTATATACTAAATACTAACTAAAACTAAATAAACTAAATCTAATAAATAAAAGTGAAAAAAACTATATTGATAACTATAAAACTATATTGTCATATTTAAAAGAACGTACTAAAGTACTAAAAATGCATTTACGTATTTATGTTTTTAATGATTTTTTCAAGACTTGTAGTGATATTTGTGTAATAGTGATTGACTGATGGATTTAGATCCAGCTCTTACACCAGCTGTTATATAAATGTTTCCTTTAATGCTGTGTTTATGTGAAGATAAGTTGATTTTAATTACCATGAGAATGGTTTGACGAAACTAGGTTTTCATAAGAAGCTTTTTTTAAACGCTCCTGGGAAACACGGTAACTTATAACAGTAAGCATCCTCTTCCTCATTAAACACTGTTTCATATTTCATACTTAATGGAAACATCAGCAGTTTTTCATAATCGGCCGGGTTTTGTCCTGCCCTCAATAGTGAACGAAAACACCCAGTTTCCACAGCGCTCCAGTGTCTTCTGTTTTAATGGAGAACATTATGACTTAATGGACGTGATATAAAACACCAGTAATGACCTCAGACGACTCTATTAAGCACAAACACTTTAATATATTTACTCTAAATGCACACAGACTGAGAAGAGTTAATGCAAGAGTTCATCTGTCGATATTTACTGCATCAGTTTTTATTTCTGCCTGATCTGTTCTCTTAAGAGACTGTGTTTGTTGCTTGTATTAAGTGATTTTTCTTTCTGTTTCAGATGCGCATGACGACACGGGCTTGAAGCCGGTCATGGTTTATATTCACGGCGGCTCGTACGTCGAGGGAACAGGGAACATGATCGACGGCAGCATCCTCGCCAGCTACGGAAACGTGATCGTCGTCACCGTGAACTACCGGTTAGGAGTGCTAGGTGAGTCGCTCGAAACTTATTCATCTTATTTACACTGCTGTCGGAAGAAATTAGTACTTTAATTCGTCAGGGATGCATGAGATTGATCAAAAGTGCTAGTAAAGACATGTTACAAAAGATTTCTGTTTTTAAATAAACGCTGTTCTTTTGGACTTTCTGTTCATCTGTGAATCCTGACGAATAAAATGTATGATGCTTTCCACAAAAATATTGTGCAGCACAACTGTTTTCAACATTGATGATAATCAGAAATGTTTCTTGAGCAGCAAATCTGCGTATTAGAAGCAGTGTTATTTTAGTATCACTGAGATATAGTTTTTATTAATATGTTGAGTCAGTTTTTTTTCTCATTTTAATTTTAGTTAAAATTTTTGTAATTTTGTTTTATTCATCTTATTTACACTGCTGTCGGAAGAAATTAGTACTTTAATTCGTCAGGGATGCATGAGATTGATCAAAAGTGCTAGTAAAGACATGTTACAAAAGATTTCTGTTTTTAAATAAACGCTGTTCTTTTGGACTTTCTGTTCATCTGTGAATCCTGACGAATAAAATGTATGATGCTTTCCACAAAAATATTGTGCAGCACAACTGTTTTCAACATTGATGATAATCAGAAATGTTTCTTGAGCAGCAAATCTGCGTATTAGAAGCAGTGTTATTTTAGTATCACTGAGATATAGTTTTTATTAATATATTGAGTCAGTTTTTTTTCTCATTTTAATTTTAGTTAAAATTTTAGTAATTTTGTTGTGTTTTTGCTATTTCTATTTATTTTTTTTATTTTTTTTATATTTTATTTTAGTTATTTTATTTCAGGTAACAAATTCTATTTTATGTTTTTGGTATTAGTTTATTATATATATATATATAATTAATTTTTTATTTATTAATTTTTTTAGTTAATGGTTATTTCAAGTAACTAAAATGTTATGTTTTTAGTTTTGGTTAAAATATTTTTAATATATGTTTTATATTTTATTTTATTGAATCATTATTTCATTTCAAGTAACAAAAATGTTTTTATGTTTTTAGTTTTAGTTTAAATATTTTTTATTTGATATTTTTTATATTTTGTATTATTTTTGTTAATGTTTATTTTATTTCAAGTAATGATTTTTTAAATGTTTTTAGTTTTTGTCAATTATAATAACCCTGTTGAAGAACGATTATAAGAATAAGAATGATTTCTGAAGATCATGACACACTGAGGACTCTGATGCTAAAAATTCAGCTTTGATCACAGAAATAAATTACAGTTTAACACATTTTCACATAGAAACAGTTATTTTAAGTGATAATAATATTTCACAATTTATACAATATTTTTGATCAAATAAATACACCCTTGGTAAGCAAAAAATACTTCTTTAATTGTTTAGTATTTTTGCATATAAGCTAAAGATAATGAAACCTGTAAAAGCCTTTCTTTTACTCACAGTACGTAAGAGATGACGTTAGAAAGCCTTCAGATGTTCATTAAAGGATATTTTATTCATTTTCATAATGAAGGTTATTGGCTATTACAAGTTCTGCCAAAAATAGATTCCTCTTTATAAAATAAAGCTTTTATAATGCTGTGTCTTTGAACAGAAGAACACGGTGAGGATTTGAAAGCTTATTAAAACACTAAGAATACTTGATTCAGCTTTGATCACAGAAATAAATTACAGTTTAACACATTTTCACATAGAAACAGTTATTTTAAGTGATAATAATATTTCACAATTTATATGATATTTTTGATCAAATAAATCCACCCTTGGTAAGCAAAAAATACTTCTTTAATTGTTTAGTATTTTTGCACATAAGCTGAAGATAATGAAACCTGTAAAAGCTTTTCTTTTACTCACAGTACGTAAGAGATGACGTTAGAAAGCCTTCAGATGTTCATTAAAGGATTTTTTTATTCATTTTCATAATGAAGGTTGTTGGCTATTACAAGTTCTGCCAAAAATAGATTCCTCTTTATAAAATAAAGCTTTTATAATGCTGTGTCTTTGAACAGAAGAACACGGTGAGGATTTGAAAGCTTATTAAAACACTAAGAATACTTATAAACACGAACACAAAGCAGCTCTCGCAAGTGTTTTAGTTTGCAGTCTAAGTGTGCAGATTTATGATTCATTCATTTTGAATCCTACATATTTATATGTTTGGTGCAGAGCAGTTTATTTCTGTTTTTGAGTCTTGGATCGTCATGCTGTTACTGGCTCTCTTTCTCATCAAGATATTGAAGCAGATTTCGTTTGAAGGTCCTGAGGTCCTTGGCACTGAATTAGAGACGAAAAAGCCCGCTTTTAACAGCATCCCTCTTTTAAGAAGAGAGCGTGTTCTTTTCTCCGTGTGGAATTAGATCCAAACACTTCCCAGAGGCCTTCAGATTCAGACCGAATGCACTTTTGGTCATTACCATCAGATCTTTTGTACCAAATGATGTGATGTTTTGAACAAAGCATCTCCTTATTATTGAGTTATGTTCAGAACGAGCTGGATGGAAGAGATTGATGTCTCTCCAGTCCATCATTAAACTCCGAACATTGTCCAAAAATACACTATACCAGTCAAAAGTCTGGAACAATTATGATCGATAATAATCATAAATGTTTCTCGAGCAGCAAATCAGCATACTGGAATGATTTCTGAAGATCATGTGACACTGAAGACTGGAGGAATGATGCTGAAAATACAGCTGCACATCACAGAAATACATTACAGTTTAACACATATTCACACAGAAAACAGCTGTTAAAAGTTGCAATAATATTTCACAATTTTTACTGTATTTTTGATCAAATAAATGCAGCTTTGCTGAGCGGAAGAGGAAAAATAGTAGTGTGTATAAACTCACATTTGATTGATCTTAGAGTGGTTTGATGGATGTGGCCACAGGATATTTCACACCCAAGGTCTAGAAGTCCTTGTCTCCTCTCTCTGGCTCCAGTACTTCAGAGATGATCACAGATTCAGTGTGTTTTTATGGGAAAACGATCCAGCAGGGACAGATCAAGGCTGGCGGTCTGAGGAGAAACGACACCAGACTAAGCCACATAAAGACTCCTCATCTTCAGCCGACAGCGTCTGTTTGAGCGAGCTCTGTCTCATGATTCTCCTGCAGCGTCTGATCCTTTCAGAGAGAAATTCAGCTGACATTTCATGTAATCTCAAAGCTAAATGTGACCCTGGAGCACAAAACCAGTCATAAGGGTCAATTTTTCGAAATTGAGATGTATGCATCATCTGAAAGCTGAATAAATAAGCTTTCCATTGATGTATGGTTTGTTAGGATAGCACAATATTTGGCTGAGATACAACTATTTGAAAATCTGTAATCTGAGGGTGCAAAAAAATCTAAATATTGAGAAAATCATCTTTAAAGTTGTTCAAATGAAGTTCTTAGCAATGCATATTACTAATCAAACATTAAGTTTTGATATATTTACGGTAGGAGATTTACAAAATATCTTCATGGAACATGATCTTTACTTAATATCCTAATGATTTTTGGCATAAAAGAGAAATGTATAATTGTGACCCATACAATGTATTGTTGGCTATTGCTACAAATATCCCCCAGCGACTTAACACTGCTTTTGTGCTGCAGGGACACATTTATTTCTGTTGTAAAGACGGGCGTAAGTGACTGATCTGCTCAGAAGATGTTGGCGATTGCAGATAACAGAGCTCATTTGAAGCCTGTTACGTCTGTTTTTCATCCCTTTTCTTTTCATCTTTCTTATGTTATATTCTCTAAAATGCTGCTTTGGAGTAAAACTGTATAGTAAAAACTGAAATGAACTGATCCTGAATTTAACTGAAATACACTACCAAAAGCATTTTTTACATTCAAGACACACAATCAGTGTTAAATTATTATTATTGTTGTTTATTTTTTTGTATGAATATTTAGATTTAGTTCCTGTATTTTCTGTTTTAATTTTAATTTTAGTTAAAGTAAGTAATTAATTTTGGTTTTAGTATCTTTTTAAATGTTTATATAGTTTTATCTATTTTTATTTCAGTTTTGGTTTTAGTTATTTATATACTTCAAGTTCAATTAAATGAAAGTAAGAAATGTTGCCTTAATAACTAAAACGTTTACATTTTTTTGTATTTTTTATTTCAGTTAACACTTTTTTTCTGGTTTTAGTTTTAGTTTAATTTTGTATATGAAAGACATATTATAGTATCACTGATATTCTATTTTAGTTTTTTTTTAAATAAATATTCTGATTTAGTTTTTGTTTTTATATTTTCATGTTTTAATTAAAATTTTAAAGTTTTAGTAATTTTATGTTTTTAGGCATATTTATTTATTTACGTATTATATAATTTATATATAATGTTATATCATTTTTTATATAGTTTTTATTCATTTTTATTTTGGTTTTCATTTTAGTTTGTTTATTACTTTGTTAAATTAAACTATACAATTAAATGTTGCCTTTTTTTGTTTTATCTTTTTCTTCAGTTAACAAACATTTATTGTTTTGTCTTTTTAATGTATGTCTACATATCTGTAGTTTGTATTCATTTTGAATTCAATTATTTTTTATTATTATTGAATTAAGTACTTCAAGTTAAAGTTTTTTTGCACATATTGTCTTTTATTTCAGTTAACAAATAGACACACACTTTTATTTATAACTTGTTTGTTTGTTTTTGTTTTTGTTAATTCAGTGATTATAAAATCAGCAGCATAGTATAGATTTTCCCCAGTCCTATTGAATAATCATGATATTTAAATGTTTAAATGCTGTATTGCTCTGACAGCGAGCGTTTGTGTCCCAGATCTGTTTCAGAAAGCGATCATCCAGAGCGGGACGGCTCTCTCCAGCTGGGCCGTCAACTACCAGCCGGCCAAATACACGCGCATGCTGGCCGAGAAGGTGGGCTGCAACGAAGACGACACGGTCGAGCTGATCGAGTGCCTCCAAAACAAAAACTACAAGGAGCTGATCGAGCAGAACATCACCCCCGCCAAATACCACATCGCCTTCGGACCCGTGATCGACGGAGACGTCATTCCGGATGACCCGCAGATCCTCATGGAGCAGGGAGAGTTCCTCAACTACGAAATAATGCTAGGAGTGAACCAGGGCGAAGGCTACAAGTTCGTAGACGGGATCTTAGACAGCGAGGATAGAGTAACAAGCAATGACTTCGAGTTCTCCATATCAGAATTTGTCGACCATTTGTACGGCTATCCGGAAGGAAAGGACACCCTGCGGGAAACCATAAAGTTCATGTACACAGACTGGGCCGATAGGGAAAACCCGGAGATGCGACGAAAAACGCTGGTCGCGCTTTTCACGGATCACCAGTGGGTGGCGCCGGCCGTGGCGACGGCGGACCTGCATGCGCAGTACGGATCGCCCACCTACTTTTATGCCTTTTATCACCACTGCCAGAGCGACATGAAGCCTGCCTGGGCCGATTCGGCACACGGAGACGAACTTCCGTACGTTTTCGGCATTCCCATGATCGGCCCCACGGATCTCTTCAACTGCAACTTCTCCAAGAACGACATTATGTTGAGCGCCGTGGTCATGACGTACTGGACGAACTTCGCCAAAACTGGGTGGGTAGGATGCATATGTTTAATAAAAGCTGTTTTAATAAAATGTTTTAAAAAATTGTTTTAATAAAACTGTTTTAAGAAATGTTTTAATAAAAGCTGTCAAAATGCATAAAGGCTGTAACTTAACTTTACTTTTTTCAATTTAAATGTATTTAAATGGATAAATTAATACATGAATTTATAAATTAATAATAAAATTAGATAAAGAATAATAATTGATTGTTGCTAGGGTATTCTGGGTGGTTGCTCGAGTGTTGCAAGGCAGTGGAAAGTAACATCACTAATTGACCTTTTAATGACTGCTTTCAGTTTTTTAACTATGTCACTAGGGTGTTGCTAGGGTATTCTGGGTGGTTGCTACAGTGTTGCTATGCAGTTGCTAGGGTGTAGCTAGGCAATCAAATATAACATCACATCAAATTGACCCTTTAATTGCTACTTTCAGTTATTCTTTGTTGCTAGGCAGTTATTAGGGTATTCTGGGTGGTTGTTAGAGTGTTTCTAGGCAGTCGAAAGTAACATCACTAATTGACCCTTTAATTGCTGCTTTCAGCAATGTTTGTTGCTAGAGTGCTGTTATGTAGTTGCTAGGGCGTTGCTAGGCAGTCAAACATAACATCACTTATTGACCCATTAATTGCTGCTTTCGGCTATTTTGTTGTTAGGGTGTTGCTAGGGTATTTTGGGTGGTTGCTGGAGTGTTGCTAGGCAGTGAGGGGGGCTGGGGAGAGAGATAGATAGATAGATAGATAGATAGATAGATAGATAGATAGATAGATAGATAGATAGATATTCTGGGTGGTCACAGTGTTGATATGCAGTTGCTAGGGTGTTTCTGGGGTACTCTGGGTGGTCACTAGAGTGTTGCTAAGGCATTGCTACAGTTCTTCTTGGCAGTTGCAAGAGTGTTTTAGGTGGTTGATAAAATGTTGCTATGCAATTGTTAGGGTGTTGCTAGGATGTTCAGGGCTGCTATGCAGTTGCTAGGGTATTCCAGGTGGTTGCTAGAGTGTTGCAAATCAGTCGAAAGTAACATCACCAGTTGACCCTTTAATTGCTGCTTTCAACTATTTTTGTTGCTAAGGTGTTGCTAGGAAGTTGTTATGGTATTCTGAGTGTTTGCTAGAGTGTTGTTAGGCAGTGGAAAGTAACATCACTAATTGACCTTTTAATGACTGCTTTCAGCTATTCTTGTTGCTAGGGTGTTGCTAGGCAGCTAGGGTATTCTGGGTGGTTGCTAGAATGTTGATATGTAGTTGCAAGGGCATTGCTAGGTAATCAAATGTAGCATCACTAATTGAACTTTCAGTTGCTGCTTTCAGCTATTTATGTATTTTTTTGCTAGGGTGTTGCTAAGCAGTTGAACTTAACCTCACTAACTAATCCTTTAATTGCTGCATTGAGTTTTTTATTTGTGAATCTGATTAGATCGACATTTAGGGTTAGGGTTAGGGTTAGGGTTGCAGCCTAGTATTTGACAAGAATGATTTTAAAAAATGTAAATTGAAGCATTAACTACTGTACAGATGTTACTAATTTAACACGTTTTGTTTTACTGCACAGAGACCCGAATCAGCCGGTTCCTCAAGACACAAAGTTCATCCACACTAAACCGAACCGCTTTGAGGAGGTGGCCTGGTCTAAATACAACCCTAAAGACCAGCTGTACCTGCACATCGGCCTGAAGCCTCGCGTCCGCGACCACTACAGGGCCACCAAGATCGCCTTCTGGCTGGAGTTAGTGCCGCATTTACACAACATCAACGAACTCTTCCAGTATGTTTCATCGACAACCAAAATCCCACCACAGGACACGACGCCGTTCTCCTACACCAAACGCCTGTCCAACAAACTCTTGCCATCGACCACCCGCCATCCACCCGCTACTCCGGCCAACACCAAACAGATGTCGGATCAGCAGAAGACATCCGAGCACGGCGACGGGGCGGTTATCATCGAAGCGCGAGATTATTCGACCGAGCTGAGCGTGACGATCGCCGTCGGCGCGTCTTTGCTCTTCTTAAACATCCTGGCGTTCGCAGCACTCTACTACAAGAAGGACAAACACCGGCTAGAGTCGAGTCGTAGGCACAGTCTGCCAAGAAATCTCGCGAACGATGTCCCCCGTGTGCCGAGCGAAGTATTGATGCAGCTCGGCCACGATCACGATTGCGATTCGCTGCAAGGCCACGATATGATTCAGCTGACCGGTCCTTTGGATTACGCGCTAGCGATGCGCCGTTCGCCCGACGACATATCGCTGATAACGGCGAACACCATCACTATGATTCCTCGCTCTTTCCCCGACTTGCCGCCATCATATCTCAACCCGTTCAATGCATTCGGGAACAGCACTCCGAGCAGCACGGGCCTCCCGCATGGACACTCTACGACGCGAGTATAACTCGCCACAAGTCGACGGATGATTTAGATGCGCACCCAGGTGCTCGAACACAAATACTGAGGGTGTTATTTTGTTACAGACTCTTTTATGAATAAGTAACGTTACACGTATTAACCTGTATAATGTGATCGGTGAATGTAATCATTTTCGCATTCATGAAACAGCGACTGGAGCTTTCAAAAAATATGATTACATAAATGAAGAAGTATTATTTGCATCCTGATTTCGTGGTTAATGTGTGAGACGATAAATCACTAAACACTTGCATCGCAGCACAAATACCTGGTAAACAATTTTGCTGTAACTAGATATTCATAATTATGTTGGGGGTAGAAAGCCTGGCCATTCAGATTGAAATGGCTTTAATAGCTTGAAGTTTAACGATTTTATGACTGAAGTTTAAAAACTTGGAATTTGAAGGTTTTAAGGCCATGCTGTCTGAGATAGATAGATAGATAGATAGATAGATAGATAGATAGATAGATAGATAGATAGAAGTTGCTATGCAGTTGCTAGGGTATTCTAGGTGGTTGCTAGGGTGTTGCTAGGCAGTTGTTATGGTATTCTGGGTGGTTCCTAGAGTGTTGCTATGCAGTTGCAAGGATGTTCCTAGGCAGTCGAAAGTAACAAAATTTTCTGGGCAGTAGCTAGGTTGCTTTAGGTGGTATGCGCACCCAGGTGCTCGAACACAAATACTGAGGGTGTTATTTTGTTACAGACTCTTTTATGAATAAGTAACGTTACACGTATTAACCTGTATAATGTGATCGGTGAATGTAATCATTTTCGCATTCATGAAACAGCGACTGGAGCTTTCAAAAAATATGATTACATAAATGAAGAAGTATTATTTGCATCCTGATTTCGTGGTTAATGTGTGAGACGATAAATCACTAAACACTTGCATCGCAGCACAAATACCTGGTAAACAATTTTGCTGTAACTAGATATTCATAATTATGTTGGGGGTAGAAAGCCTGGCCATTCAGACTGAAATGGCTTTAATAGCTTGAAGTTTAACGATTTTGACTGAAGTTTAAAAACTTGGAATTTGAAGGTTTTAAGGCCATGCTGTCTGAGATAGATAGATAGATAGATAGATAGATAGATAGATAGATAGATAGATAGATAGATAGATAGATAGATAGATAGATAGATAGAAGTTGCTATGCAGTTGCTAGGGTATTCTAGGTGGTTGCTAGGGTGTTGCTAGGCAGTTGTTATGGTATTCTGGGTGGTTCCTAGAGTGTTGCTATGCAGTTGCAAGGATGTTCCTAGGCAGTCGAAAGTAACAAAATTTTCTGGGCAGTAGCTAGGTTGCTTTAGGTGGTTGCTAGAGTGTTGCTACGCAGTTGCTACTGTTTTGCTTGGCAGTTGCTAGGATCTTCTAGGTTGTTGCTATGCAGTTGCTAGGGCTCATTGCTTTTGGGTGTTTTATGTGGTTGTTAGAGTGTTGCTATACAGTTGCTAGGATGTTCTAGGTTGTTGCTATGCAGTTACTAGGGCGTTGCTAGGGTTTTGCTTGGCAGTTTCTAAGATGTTCTAGGTTGTTGCTATGCAGTTACTAGGGCGTTCTTAGGCAATTACTTGGGTGTTTCAGGTGGTTGTTAGAGTGTTGCTAGGCAGAGGCAAGGGTATCTATCTATCTATCTATCCATCATGTACAGCAGTGCTTTATGGCAGTTTATTGTGTCTATTTCGCAGCCATAACCAGCAGTAACAATGATCACTGTGGCTGATTTAAGACATTTAAGACAGTGAGAAAATTCACATTTAATCTCTGTGCCAAATTAAACTTTAATTAACCACATTCCCAGTGTCTTTCTTAGTGTAAATAAAACATTTTGGAATACTTTGTAATCTCAAGAATTCAAGAAAAAGCCTCGGAAGCGTCACAAGTTCTTACATTTTAAACACGAGATCAGGTTGCAGTGTGAAATTCTTGTGCCATCTGAGAGGATCTGCTGCCAGATCTTAAAGGTGCTGGAAGTGATTTCGGCCGTTCTGCACATTTCTTTAAATCTTTAAACCCCGCCCTCCAAATATATGATTGACAGGTAGAGAGTGTTTCTGATTAGATTTTTTTTTTTTTGCAGTCTAGTTCTGTGATTTCTCGTAGCACGTTTCACTGATATCTGTCAGGTTGTAGTGAGATTTTATACATGGTGTATTATTCTGTTAAAACTATTGCTTGCAGCACCTTTAAGAGCAATGTGGCATCAGTGTGGCAACGGCCTTTATCTGACAGTAATCTTTCTCTCAGCCTGAATAGTGTTATTTTAGTGTATATAGCATATAGAATAAATTGTAAAAAGATCATCTGCAGCTTGTAGTATTGCTTTCAATGAAATCGTCTTTTCGGGACTTTTTCTTTTGCTCGTGCACAGTTCTGAATGTACTTTTGCCATCTTCATCCCTCCATGTTTGACCATTTCAAAACATTATTTATGTGGCAGTGGATTGCCTAGTCCTCATTTCCGTCAGTTATAACATGAAACAAATTTGATAAAAATCTTACATATTAAATCCATATGTAGTTTTCTTCGGCTTTAAACCTCATTAAACTAGCAAAAGTACTGGTTTTCTGAACACACTCCCCTATTGGTCAGTCACACAGATAGTCCCGCCCCCAAAATCATGTCATTGGCTGAGTCAGAAGTTGACATGTCAGGCCACCGATAAATGAAATACATCGATATTAAAATGGTTTTGTTGTTTTCCAGAAATATGAGATGAGCTGAAAGTTTAACTTCCTGTGACTGTAATCTGTAAACAGGAAGTTTGCATGCTATTTCTTATTTCTATATAATAATGTTTCTCTTACTATAGCTCAGTTCCTGTAAGTATGGTCCATTTGCAAAATGATTTATAAATCCTGATAAATATATTTGATTATTTTTATTTTTTCATTGCTTTTACTGCTTTTTCAGTTTATTTGTTAAGCATTAAATGATGAACTCAGACATTATCTGTTGCTTTTCCTGTAACAGAAGCTTCACAGCGCTGTAATAATGAATTATCATTTGTCAATATATATTAATCAGTCGTCTGCCTAACAGGGTACTGATGGACATGTCTCGCTCTGAATCTTTAAATGATTTGGTTTTGCCTCATTGAAAGGCTTGTTGATGGATACTGTATATGTAAGAGACTTTTTGCTGCTTTTTCTAAAATTAAATAAACTTAGATTTTACTCATCTGCTCACTCACTTGTTTTTATAATCCATAATGTTTAATATGTGTGTGATATGTTAAAGGAATAGATCAGCCAAAAATAGAGACTTGAAATTGTGCTCACCCTCAGTTCATCCGAGATCAGGATGAGTTTGTTTCTTCATCAGGTTTGGAGAAATGTAGCACTGCATCAGTGTCTCAGCAATGGATGCTCTGCAGTGAATGGGTGCCGTCAGAATGAGAGTCCAAACAGCTGATAAAAACATCACAATAATCCACAGCACTCCAGTCCATCAGTTAACATCTGGAGAAGACAAAAGCTGAAACTAATCCAGCATTAAGATGTTTTTAACTAAAATACATTGTTTATAATCCAAAAAAGATGCAAAAAGTGCATCTGCTGTTGTCTCTCACATCAAAAGCCAGCCACATATTTGTTTAGAGCTGTTTAAATGCTGCTTGATCTGTGCAGATTTCTCTCCTGATTCAGACCAGAACACTTTTTCACTGGAGGAAGCGTTATTGTGGATTATAGACTCAATGTATTTTAGTTAAAAACGCCTTAATGATGGATTTACGCAACAGTGACAGAACGTAAGCAGATTGTGTTCATTGTCTGTTTTTCAGTGAAAAGTCTAGGAAGCTGAAATGCATTGCATTGACAAATTGGAGAAAGCAGGCGGATGTGTTTGTGCAGGTAAGTGTTGCTCTCCATCACATGCTCTGGAGCTCCTGACTGTCTTCTGAGAGACAGATGGTGGAGCTGCAGCTTCTCCAGAGACATGAGCAGTGACTGCGCTCGCTCCATCTGTGGTCACTCATGGACCACAGACACATAAACACCTCGGAAGGTTTGACATTGGAGCATGAAAACCTAGCGGGGGAATGTACAGTATATATGGAGGTTCCAGCATGTGATTGAGTACTGCAATGTTAAAAAAAAAGAAGTAAAAATAGGGCACAATGTACTAATATCAAGGAATTTCCGCATCAAATTTTTTATTTTTTTGTAAATGGGTATTTGCCTTGATTTTGCCAAGTAAGACATGTTCCTGGATCAACATAACTGTCCAAAAATATAGACTTAACCCAGTCCCTACCCCTAAACCTAACCTTACCCATAATTTATTCCTAAAATCAGTGTGAAATGATAGCTGATTAACAAGGTGTAGAAGCACCTAATCCTGATCGTAAGCCTAAAACTGACATTTCCTCAAAGGTTATCCCTCAATTCTGATTGGCTGATTGGAATGTTGTTCTAGGAACATGTTGAACTTTTGAATTTTGTACTTCATTGCATTGTGTTTTACACTCTTAAACATAAAGGTGCTTTAAAAGGTTCTTCACGGCGATGCCATAGAAGAACCATTTTTGGTTCCACAAAGAATCATTCAGTCAAAGGTTCTTTAAAGGGGTCATAGGATGCTACATGCACTTTTACAAGTTGTTTGAACTGAAATGTGTGTTGGCAGTGTGTGTACACAACCACCCTATAATGATAAAAATCCACCCAGTGTTTTTTTTTAAATCTGGTTAAATGTTTTCCCCTTTTCCAAATCGAGACGTCACACAGACAGGCCCCTCCCACGATAGTTTGATTGACAATAGTGTTTCAGCACAGACTGGACTGGTGTCTTACCTTAGCTCCGCCCTGAGTGACGTCACACAAACAGGCTCCTCCCACGATAGTTTGATTGACAATAGTGTTTCAGCACAGACTGGACTGGTGTCTTACCTTAGCTCTGCCCCTGAGTGACGTCACACAAACAGGCGCTTCCCACGATAGTTTGATTGACAGTAGTGTTTCAGCACAGACTGGACTGGTGTCTTACCTTAGGCCCGCCCTGAGTGAGCTGTCATCAGTCCGCCATTGTTTCACCGCCGGAGCAGATGTAGACGAGAATGACTCCTGAGTGATTGAGGTGTTCTGTTGTTGGATGTAATAATGAACAGCAGTCATCATTTACTCTCGACATCTGAGCCGCTGAAGACACAGTGGATTACGTTTGTTTCTGAAGGGAATGCGCCCGCGATCTACATAAATGCGTCTATGTTCGCGCAAATCATTCGTGATCCAGCTTCACCTCCAGAAGAAGCGAGGATAATGTTTTGTAATGAATCTTTGCAAATCGCCTTTCCTAATAATATGCTAATTAGCAAGTTT